GGGGGGGGGGGGGGGGGGGATAAGCTTGTAAAGAAGCAAGCTTATCCCTGCCCCGATTGAAAAAAAAAAAAAAAATCCATGCCCCGATTGCTTCTGAATAATTGTAATTGGGAAAAACTTGGACATTTCTACATCAACAGAGTCCCAAAAGCCTGGATCAATTGAAACTTCAATTCTGTCAGGATTTTAGCTTCATATGTGGTAATTTTTCTCTCAACCCTGCATGTTGGAATTTTCTCTATGGATGATACGTTCAACTTGGTTCCATTATCTATATTGTAAAGTTTTCGTCTATAAACTTGTTATTTTATTTAATACAAGACGTTCAGTTTGAATGTAGCGGGGGATCTTCATTTAACAGTACTAAAGAAGAACAGGGGCTGTATCTCGTGACTTTGGGCTTTGGCCAATGGCAAGAGAACTGATTAATTTTACGAACTAGGAGCAGTTACTTTCTACAAATAATGCCAAAGGTTGGGTGTGTATCCAGTCCACCCTTCCAGTACTTCCTCCGAACCAGTGCATTCACACAAATCTGGAGTAAGAATAAATTTGCTGCTAAGAAGGCATTTTTAAATATAAGTGGTGGCCCATATTGGCATTCATATATTGAGATGTGGAAAATCAGACAAATAAAGGTTGAAGAGGGTGTTTACTATTAGAGTGACAGAAAACTTGGTTGGGTACTAGAAACAGTGTTATAGTATGTGAAGAATTTCTTCCTTATCCAGGAAAATTAATGGATGTCTTTGTTTTAATTTTTCATTTCATTCCTTTTTTTTATTATTTACAAAACAGATTACAACTTTGGTTGACTGCACACAGATTACTTGATTTTAGCATTTCATTCTCTGCAAGAATCAATGAATACACAAATATTATGCTTACACTTCAACTATTTTCTGATTAAGGGCTGTATACCTCCATCGTTCCTTCTCCACAAAGTCTGCGTCCAGGAACCGAGCAACAAAAGCCCAAAGCCTATATATGTCTTCAAAATTGGTCAGGAACCCAAGTGCAGCTGTGACCACTTTTATACGCTGGTCAGGTTTTTTCTTCTTGTTTCCTTTATTTTCTATTTCTTTAGTTATGATTTTCTCTACGGATCTTTCTTTCTCTTCTTCATACTTATCTGAGAACCATAATTGGTGTAAGAACCCGAGGCTAAGAGAAATATTGCTTCGATCAGCAAGCTTCTGTATGAAAGCAGGTTCAACCTGTTCTCCTTTCCAATCATACAAGTTGAATGCCAATGCTGGTCCCCGGTCAAATTTTATCTTTGGACCATAGATTTTAACCAGGGAAATCTTGCTCTCTGCATTCGGATGCTGAAGCTTCATCAGTGCATTTACCAGCCAATTGATCAGGCACCTTGCTCTGCTGCTGATCAACATCAGTCCCAATGAATCCGTATGATTCAAACCCCTGCATTCGATTTCTGAGCCCCCATTCTCACCGAGTTTTTTCTTTCCTTGAAATGAATCATTCGATATCTCTGGTTCCCCAAGTTCTGAAGTTTCTGGCCCTTGTAATCTTGGAGCAAATGTTTTATGGATCTCAGAGGTCTTGCCTTTTTCAAGTTCTCCAGATTGTTTGCATTGAATAGTGATGGGACCTGAGAAAGAGCTTGATGTAGCAAATTCTTCTCTCTGTGTCTCAAATATAGATGCTTGTTGGAATCCTTCATCCGTACTAAGAGAATCCTCAGGTGACCGAAACAGCTTTTTGACCGGGACAAGACTCACAATCCCTGTGCCTATGGAAGTTTCCAAGACTGACACAGTGGATTTCTTGACAAAGAGGCATCCAAATCCAGTTGGGTTATCCCCAAAAACCTTGTAGAAAGAACAAATGATGAAGTCAGGGTGATATAGAGAGAGGCCCAAGCTGTCCATCTCTTTTGGCCCCAGCGCACAAGCATCCAGCAAGACATGCCACCCATTTTCCTGTGCCATATTCATCCATTGATAAGAATAATTGGCTCCAGTCATTCTTGACTGATGAGGGTACACAAATAGTCCCCTATTCTTCTTCTTCATCCTCTTCCTCACAATCATCTCCCTCAATTTTACGGAGTGAACCCTTAGTCTCGGCCACTTGAACTCAGCTGACATGACACGGCCTCCTCTTTTTTGTGCTGTATTTACCATGGCTTCCACTGCCTCGCTCTCATAATCATAAACCGTCAGAAGCTTTCGACTGGATTGAAAAGGATAAGATTCTGCTACAAGTTTAAAAGCTGATGATCTGTTTGAAGTGAAAACCATGCTATAATCATTTCCAGACATATTAAGAAAATCCATGATCCTTTTCTTCATTGCACATTCCAATTCTGACCCTTGGCCACCATGAAGTAGCTGTGACTTGAGATTCACCGACTTGTAAGATATACTGAAAAATGGAAAATCCGAAGATTGAGGTGTTGGAGAAGAAGGATCAATTGAGATGAGTGAAGAGTACTGAGATTGAAATTGTGAGTGAGAGAAGAGACCTATGCCAATGTAATCAAGGCAGATATTATTGGAGACGGATAGATGATCGTATTCTTGGGCTCGGATTTGGTCAACTCGGGTAGTCTCAGAGTATTGTGGGTAAGCATTAGAGAATTGGTTGAATGAGTCTTGCAAAGAAGGGAGAGACTCATGGTTAGTAAACTGGGTATTTGGGAAGAAAGAGGAAGTTGTGATTTTGGCAAAGTTGTGTCGAGAAGCAGAAGATGTGTTTCTGGACTTAGAAATGGTTTTCTGGGGCTCAGCAGAGTTGAGGAGGAGAGGGTTTGGGCAACACCCATCAAAGCAAGCTTGTCTGGCCTTCCGCAAACAAGGTGACTGCATATTTTTTGTTCTCTTCTCTCACAGCAATTCTTGAGATATACCTCTTAGATTTATTGTTTCCTTCTGCTCCCTTGTTTCTCTCTTTCTCTCATGTTTTTCATTGGGTGCTTATTGGTGAAGTAAAGTGTACTAAAAATACTTTTTCAAAGTTTGTTTTGAACAGCTTGTTGACTGGGGCATGGTAATCATTATATTGAATAGGTCAGTTTATTATATTGAACTTGTCTTACATTTTTATCAAAGTTGACTTAGCTTAGTAGAGATTTCTGAGCAAAGCAGACCAGTTCTCTCTCTCCCCCCCGGTACATGATCAAGTGGCTGGTACATCTCCATCATGGACATTTGAGAATGTGTTTAGGCAGCTGTGGTGGCATTAGTATAGTATCCAATTTCCAGCGAAGGTATATCTGGAAATTGAAATGCAACAAAGGGAAGTGGGTGACAAAAGAGGCTTCTTTCTTTTCCTTTTTGGTGTTGGGCCGGCATCATTGACGCTGGCCGAAAGAAGTTTGGTGCCGACCAAAAGAAACATTTTTTAGAATGAGTCTGCATTTTTCCGAGTGTGGAAAATTAGCACACCAGCCTAGATGATAATAAGTTGTACCTCTCAAAATATGAGTCTTTGTTTTGCAGTTGATGAGACTGTGACACGCCATTTAACAATGAGAAATCTTTTCCATCATTGATAATTATACATGATAAAATCTGAGAATCATTAACGATTGTCAAATTCAAAATGTCCGAACTTTCAATTCATCCCTAACTAATTCTATCCATCTACTTATTGGGAATCAAGTAGAGAGGCATGATGGATTTAGCCACTTAAAATAGTGTATGACCTACCTTTTACAGTTTATTTGAGCATATTAAATCAGTTTAAGAGTAAGAGATTCGGATGTATGACATGAAATAAGAAAAGTATTTCTGAACTATTTTGTTGGGAGTCTCTTCGGGCAGAAGGCAACAACTCTCTGTCGATTTTTCCATCTTGGTGCCAATTGTAAAAGAAGTAATGTTATTGGAACTTACAATCTGATCTAATCTACTTATTTAATAATGTAATTTCATTGTAACTATTAAATTAACACTAAATTCAAATATTTGATGAGAGTTATAATCAATTCAAAGACTATTTTTCCGATGACCAATCAATCATTTAAATCGATTGGTTTTTGGATTTGTGGTTGCAATTTGTACTCGAGATACTTGTATTCACTGATATCAGGTATTAACGTTGAGATCTTGACATATTAATCACTATCCTTTTTTTATGGGCTATGGGGACCGGCTCCTGTCTCTTTTGACTCTGCAGTTCGGAATTTTCTCGGCTTCATAAAATTTTTTCATTCCACCAGTGCATTGTCTTAGTGGCAAAAATAAAATTACTAAAAAGTGGGTCGGTATTTAGAATTTACCTAAATTGAATGGTAAAATTTAAGCATTATTTTCGTTTTTTTTCCTGATATTTTTGTATGGAAACTTAAAAAAATCCTACCTAATTAAGATATGAATTTAAAGGCTTAGGTTAGGTCTACCCCAATAAATGTATGCGCCCCCCCCCCCCCCCCCCCCCCCCCCCCC